GTCTACAAAAAAGGAGCTGGCAGTGGGGCGTCTGCGCACGCCCCGCTCAACACCGCCTGTCCCCAGCTCGTCCCCTCCACCGCCAGGCGCTGCGGGCAGAGGGTCACTCCTGCATGAGACTCTTGATCTTGGTGAGCAGCACGTCCGTTTCAGCCTCTGGGAATGGAGACAGAAGCTGTGTTGTTCTAGGCAGCGTCGCCCACCTCCAGCCACCCCGGCTGCAGGAAGCGCTGCTCGGAGCAGGGCCCGCGGGACTCCAGCCAGGGGATCCCCCCTGCAGCTCCAGGGAGCTGTGCCCGCCGAGGCAGGCAGGGCACACGCTGGCCGGGGGCCACGGCACCGCAGGGAGAGCCCAGGCACCAGCAGCCTCTGCGGGAGGACGGCGTGCTGCCTGCCAGGAGAGCCGGGGAAGCCCAGCCTGGCTGGGAAGAGTCCCACGACCAGACGGGCAGCCATGTCCCAGTCAGGGAGAGGGAGAGGAAGTCGCGTGGGGCAGCCACGGCCCCGTTACCTGCTGGTTCTCTTCTCCGGGAGCATTTCCTAGGAAGTGGAACAAGCTTGAGGTTAGCGCGGAGGGCTGGGGGTCAGCACCCAGGCCTGCCCCTGGGAGCCCACCTCCACCTGGGCAGGAGCAAGACCCCCTGAGGGGCTGTGCTCAACACTAGTGGCCCCTGTATGGGCTGGCAAGCTGGGGAGAGCAACAAGGCACCAGCGTCACCTCCCACCCTCCTTGGGCTCCCGCTTCTATCCCCTCAGCTCAAACTTGTAAGGGTCAAGCTGACACCAGACAGGGCTAAAGGCACCCAGGGAAGACCGCTCAGGGCCAGGCTTCCCTTGTGCTGCAAGGATGAATGCCCCCTCTGATCCCAGCTGTGCTGCAGGATGGGGCAGGAGATGGGAGTTTCAGGGCCAAGAGACGGGCTCCCCCCGGATCAGCAGGGAAAGCAGCAGTTTGCCATGCAGCATGTGGGGCAAACAAACAGCCTCAGGTGTGGGCACCTGCTGCATGGCTCAGGGAGGGCAGCACCTCCTGCCTTGTACAGCACGAGGCCTCCTGCCCAAAAAGGAAGCTGAGGGGTCAGAGCTTACTGCAGGAGGATGAAGGCCCAGAGGATCAGGAGGATGGAGACACAGTCCACAACGATCCAGATCATCAGGTAGGTGTTGCTGGGCTGCAGGGCAATGAGAGCAGGTCAGCAGCCCAGGGCAGGGCATGTGCACCCCAGGAGGGGACTGACTGCAGTGCAGACAGGACCCACGCAGGCTCCAGGGATGCCCTTGCTGGGCGATGAGCATGGAGGACGCGCCAGGAGGCTTTGGCCTGGCTTCGGGGCAGCAGGGGTGGGTAATAGGACTGACCAGCATGTGGCCGGGCCATTTCACCTACCAAGACCCAGAGGGGACGGTCCATCTCCTTCAGCTCCTGGCAGGCGTTGGTGGTCACGGAGCTAACGCC